GGGGGGGGGGGGGGGGGGTAATCTTTATTATGATCTAAACAGGGAGGCTCATGTCTGAATGGGGTATTCGTAACAGGCTTCAGGTATAAGAAAGGGTAGTGATTTTGCGGGTGGAAGTATATGATATAAGGTAGAGAAATCTGCCATTTCGGTCGGTTTAATTACAGTATAATGCGCATCGCACGGTGGAAATGACACCAAACTCGTAACTGGTAAAAACTAAAAATTACAGGAAATTACAGCTTTCAGAGACTCTACAAATACAAAAATTTCCAAAAATAGACCAAAATAATCTACTGACAAATAATGTCGATAATTTGTGTTGAAAATTGATTCGGCACAACTCAAAAAATTTAGACTGATGTCATGTTGAATCATTATCCTCTCAAAGTATCCCTTCTGAAGTGAAGGGAGTTTGCAAATCAGCTTTTTCTTGTTGCGCAACTATACGAAAAACAGCAATACGGTTAGTTTGGATGGTTGCAGTTTGAGAGTCGAAATCGTTTTTGTGAAGCTGGAACAAAACCGGTCTGGAAAATGTTAGAGCCTCTAGCTTGTTTCAGGCGTTCATTTTTTGGGAACGGCGGATTTGTCGAAGGGCTCGCTCTCTGCCTTTCCGCCGCACTCCACTATCTGAACGCCTGGAACAGGCTAGAGATAAGCGAGCCTCTTTCTTGTCCGAATTCTAAAATCTTTAATTTAAGGTCGAACTTCGATATTGTCTCTGCGGAACAACGCAGAAAATTTCGCCCGCTCACAGGCGAGCAATGCTCAGTTCAGGGTTGCATCCGTGCGCTGCAGATAAATTTTCATCGCGAAAGAAACTGTCAAACAATTACCACGATGCAGATTAACCAAAAGCTCTAAAACAAACCTGCAACAAGAGCCGCCTTTTGTTGCTCTGCGGCCCGGCCGTTAAGGCGTTTCGCGAGGTAAATCTGAATCGTCTCTAAGCGGAGAATGAAAGAGAGGATGACTTTTTTCCCGAAGCACATTTTGAAACCAGATAAAACAACAACCCTTTTTCGATCAGCCGTTTCTCATTTTCCATGGTAGTATCTGGTTAAATTCGAATTGTGAGTTAAGTATCTCAAAAAATTGTAGATCCTTACCTACAATGCGGAAATCTTCAAAATTTTTCCTCGTCCCACGTTTACTTCGCTAGCTTTCCAAGC